GGTTTAGACATAAGTTTTATATATAAAAAAATGTTAACTGCGAATTACGAAACTGGACCGATAATTTCATTTAATATATTTGTAACTAACCACCTCTGCTAAAATCCGAGACCTAAAAATAGTCTTCAAATATAATTTTAATACATTTTTCAATTTCAGGTATATGGTTGGAGCAGCATTCATAGGAAAAGCTTGCTCGTTGATATTTTTCTTTGCTGCTTGGTGGTTTTACATTCCACCAAAAGCAATAAACCCCAAGCACAAAATGAACTGCCAATGAATGGAAACCTTAATCATGTCGCAGAAAGGGATAAATATTAAACATAGTGCAAAACAATAAATCTTAATTGCAGACAATTGTTTAAGGCAACAAAAGACATTTGCTATGTGTAATTGCGTGTATTATTTTATGAATAACTCTGTAAATCAAGAATTAAGCGATCACACGAAAAACGTGATATCAGAAAATAAGCAGTCTAAGGAAAAGAACATTTTTGTTCTGTATAATTATTTCGATGATTCTGATGATAATGTTAACCTGTAATTGTTATGATTGCTTTGATTAATTACATTATACAATAAATTATATTGTTTTCCAATTGGCATTTAAGTAATACATGTCAATTGTAACAAAGTATGAAAACATGGATGGTGTTTCAGTCATTGGACTGAAACTTTCCTAAACTACACGTATAAAGTAAATTTCGCGAAATTTAATTAGGTTTATATAAAAATATTTCTAATAGTTGCAGCCTCCTTTGCATTTTTCTTTCTCAAAAATGCATTTTGTTTGCATTCTTACTATTTATTTTTATGTTTTACTTTACTCCCACGGTTATGTTGAAAAAATTATATAATTAATAATTTGTGGAACCTAAATAAATGTTATTAATAATCAGAAAAAATGCCAAGATCAATTTAATTATTTATAATCCATACCCATAAGTGACTGATTGATGTTTGAATGTTTTATTAATAATGCGAAAGCGATAATTATTAGCTATAACAATTAGATATTATAACATTTTGGCAGTATTTGTCTAATTTAGCAACGTTTGATTTATGTGATTTAAGTGAAAGAAAAATATGATTGTATAATGTTATATCGTCAATTGCTGCATGATTATTTTAAAAGAAATAAGAATTTATAGATTTATATATGCGAGTTTTGTACAGTATTTATTAATAAATGTATAATCGTAATCAGTTGTTTTTTTATGTGACTACATTCTTCTAGTCGTCTAATTTGCATTGGAACGCACAAACCACCATTGCATTCATACATGTTCTCGTTCAAATTTTTTTCAAATATTTTGAAATCTTTTTTGGTTTTCTTCTGATACTTATTGTAAACTAAAATCAAAATCTAGCTTTCTAACATTTTGGAACTACCAACTAACATTTTAAAAAACTGAACATTTTTTCGTTAATAGTTAAAAATAATTCCATGGATTAGGTTTGTATAGCAGAATATCAACCCTTTCCACTTGGATGCCGCCGCTCTGACGGCAAAATTTATATAAATCTCGCAATTCGCGAGAGGAAAGGGCTAAATTTTGCGACTCTAAGCTCTAATATATTTAAAATTATAAATACATTTATGAAATACGTATGATTTTTTGTATAAGAATTTGAAAAATATTCGTATACGCAAAATAAAATTTTACAATTGAAAACACTAGATTTTTTAATGTAAAAAAATCAATATATTTATAGGAATCAAAGAAAAGTAAAAACAGATAAAATCATCAAAAAAACCCAAAAATTTATTCTTACAATAAGTACTTTTTCGGAATCCAAATTTTGTTGACTACCATAATCTCAAAACAAGATCTTTTTACTTTCTTAATTAACTTCCCGTAGGATAAGTTATAGTAATCTCAAAAAAATCAATATAAAATTTTTGCATATCTTCACGTTTCTAAGTCTTCTGAACATTTTGGCATGCCTTAGAAAAATAGATGTGATTGTGTATGTGTGTGTGTGTAAGTATGTGCGGATACAATTTTTCGTTCACGATTTCGGGCGCAGGCATCAACCGTTTTAAATGAAGAAGAATGATTGAAAAAACAATCGATTACTATTGATGGGAAGACGTGCTGATTAGTTGTTGGCGAAAACAGGTCAAAGTCTAACCGTTTTTTTTAAAGATACGGGTCGAAAAGTGCAAAGAATGGTAATTTTGTTTTTGAGGCAACGGAGCGCTCATGCTTACTTATCTATGGAAGCGCTCGATTTGAATGATTTAAAAAAAAAATTTACTTGTATTGACGATTGAATAGTATATATTTATTATATTATATTAGTGACAGGTCCGGCGATTTCGGAGATACAGAGGCAAAAATAAAAAAAAATCGCGTTCAAAAATGTTCATTAGACATATGCACATCAAATTATCAGATATTTTATAAAGATTTTAAAAATGAGTACTACTTTTATTGCATTTTTTTGAGTTCCATTCCAAGATTTTTAATATTTTAAGGTTCTTATATGATTCAAATTAATTTAAAAATTTATAAAAGATTTTTTTTTCAAAATTTTCAAAAATGAACGAAGTTTTATACTTTCTTTATTCATTGTAAATTTACAATTCAGTTTAAAAATGTATATATTTTATATGCGTTGTTCTAATCGTAAGAAATATATCCCAAGATGGATTAATTTGGCATCTCTTGTTAACGTAAACATTCTTAAGTGTCAAGTGATAAGATCGCCGCTATATAATATACAAGCGATAAAATATATAGCATAGATAAATAAGCGTAAGTATTTATACTTATCTATTTGAAAATATTTAAAACGATTGTTATTAATTATTATTGATCAATAATTACTGCTTTTTTATTTGTTCCCCTCGAATATATAATAATTTAATTCTGGTCCAGAAATTTCAAAAATAAAACTTTTACTTTGCTATTGGTTACTCTGAAATTTTCTACATCGTGTTGCTAACTTCACTAATCACCTCATAAACAAGTAAATGACAGCTAAACGTCATGAACAAATAAATTGAAATGTTATGCGTTACGCCTTAATAAATGGAAGAAATATAATTTATATAGATATGGCACAGATTGAAGCATGTCAACTTTGTTTATGCAACACTAAATTGCTGAGAGGACTTAACAAAGAAATCGAAAGCTTAATTAAAACCAAAATATTAGATTATCTATCTATTAACGTAAAGTTTTCGCTACAGACGTAACAAATCAAACAAGCAACTTATATGAGGATTTATTGTTTCAGATTCACTATAAAAATAATACCCCGATAGTAATTTGTGAGGACTGCCTAAATAATTTAAATCAATTTCATATATTTGCACAAACAGTTAGTCTCATTTTACATACTTCTTTGAACCTTCACTAATTTTTATATTATCAATTAATTGTGTAATTAAAAATTTATTTGTTTTAAATATTTATTATAGGTTTATTTAGCTCAGAGAAATTTTCAAAAAAAATCAAAATTGTTTAAATATGAAACAACAAATATTGTAAGTCAAATATCTTAAAATGTATTCTGTATGCATTGATTATTTTATTCTTATAATGTTAAATTCGTTTTTGAAGGAAGATAATCTACCACTATCGATGCAAAAGCAAAGAAATAATATGATATCCCAAATAGAATTTAATAATCCAAATGCAAAAACGCCAAATTATATAAATAAAGATTCTGCCAAAGTTAAATCTGTGGATAATGAATGTAAGTAGTAAAGAAAACAAAACCACAAATGGTTTAAGGCATAATTTCAATATATAATAATATTTAAATAGTTTCAAGTTTTTTTTTCAAATGTATTTTAATTCATCTGCTGATTTTATTGTTATGTATAAAAGAGTCATCTACCGTTTGCTATTTTTTATACACAGAAAATATTGATTATAAATGTTTTATATTCTAAATTCAAATGTTTGTTTGAACCTAGCAATTGGTATTTTATAACACCCTTATTATGTTATTTTGTTGCAAAACAATATTGATAGAATTTTTTTTTCAGTGAGCATAAAAACTGAATTTAATTTAAGTGATACGGAACAGTATTATGAATCTGACGATGAGGATATGTTGACTGAATCAAATCAAATAAGTTTTGACAATAGCACATTTCCCAAAGAACTTATTAAGAATTGTAGATTAACTATCACTGGAAAAAAATTGGACAATATGTTAGCAACATTCTTTGGTTTAAAATGTAACATTTGTATCAATACAACATGTTTTACGTATGTTATGAAATAATTCGTATTTAATTTTCATTTTAATTTAGTTTACGAGAATAATAATTTTTAGGACTATTTCCAATTTGATAAAACATTATGAAGAAGTCCATAATACAAAAGGCTATGTTCTTTGTTGCGGTCAAAAAATTACAAGGCAGAAGGCAATGGCAATGCACATGGCAAGTCATATTCAACCAGAGGCTTTTACGTAAATATAATTTATAATTGAACATCAATTTTTTGTTGCTTCTATCATTTTGTTTTCCTAACATTAGTTGCCAGTTCAGATACAATATCTGCAACCACTGCAGAATACTACCAGTATCTGAAATTTTTCAATTCTTGAAATATTTTTTACCATCCACTTCATTAATCAAAAATAATTAGTTAAAGCAATGTACACAAAGTATAAAATGACAAACTAAAATAAAATACTGAAAATTTCATCCCTGATAATTGAATGCAAAAAATACCAATGCATTGCCACCACTCTTTACAAAGTCCTACTTAATACAATAAGATTGAAACACTAGTTTTAATTAACATTTGTATTTTTCAGTTGTACCATTTGCAATAAGATATTAACCTGCCCTAAAATATTGCAAAATCATATACAGAATCATTTACCAGAATCACAGCGTCCTTTATGTTGTCCAGAACCAACATGTTCAAGACGTTTCAGTTATTACAGTGCATTAACAGCTCATCAGGCATCACATTTAAATGAGGAGGAAAAGATAACGCATATTTGTGAAGAGTGCGGTAAAATGTAAGTTGTATGTAGATAGTTTATAGTGAAATAAGAAAATGCTATTCGGCTGATTATGAGTAGCTAGAGTATAAACAAGTATTTTTTTTTGGTTTTTCATGGAGAAATTAATTTATTTTACATAGCTATCACACTGTCAATGAACTTTTGAAGTTAGTAGATAATTAACTCACTATTTAAATTGAATAAAAAAACTGAACAGTTATCTGAAATTATTAATTATGGCATTTGATTCTTTACACTTACCTCCAATGTAAATTGCTGGTCCTGTTCTTAATAAATGCTGCCACCATTTGTATGATATGATTACTTTCAGTTTTGGTACTGCGAGTGCTCTCTCGACACATATAAACAAAACTCACAAAGTCAACCAAAAAGATAAGTACAAATATGTATGCCACATATGCGCCCATAGGTTCAGTAATTCAGGAAACCTTGGATATCATCTCGGCACACATGAACATAAAATGTTCAATCAAGTGCAATGTCCAGAATGTGGCAAATGGTAAGAAAATAATATCTCACTAGTATAGCTAATTATTTATAGGTCCTTAAGTTCACTGTAATTGCATATTCTAAGGTTCTGTTGATATTTATTATCCTGTCAGGTCCAAAAACAAGCAATGCTTAGCCAAACACATGACACAACACACTGAGGCTCCATTAAGCTGTGAATTTTGTACTTACAAAAGCAAATCTAAACAAGCCTTACGATTGCATACTCAAACACATCACATAGAAGGAAAGCACTACAGTTGTGATGTTTGCAACAAGACATTCAAGATGAAATGCACTTTAAATGTAAGTTTTTAGTTTAGTTACATAATTCTGTTTCATTTGTCTATTATACTTCTAAATTTTAGGCACATGCTGCACAACATACAGGGGAAAGAAAATATAAATGCAATTTCTGTGAAAAAACTTTTGTCAATTCAGGCAATTTTTATGCACACAGGAAAAGAATGCATTCAACAAAATTGAAGGAGTTTTATGAAGAACGAGACCGATTAGAAAATGAAGAAAGGTATTTTTTCTCATTTTTGCCATAATTATGAATAATTAATGATATATCATTTGTAAATTGCAGGATGAAGATGTTGGACAATCAAAACATATGAATGAAAATGTTTTAATATAAATATCTCAGACCATCAATCATACTTTTTTATTATAATAGTATGCATAGCAAATACAGTGACTACACATTATGACAGCTCCTTGAAATCTGTTATTTAACAATTATAATTAATTATACATATTAATCGATTTCAAATAAATGTTTTACATTCATTGTAACATAGTTGCTTTAAATTTCAGAGTATACCCCTAAAATATTCACCAAAATAACATAGAAATAACATTTATTACACAAATAACTCCCTAGAACAGAATGAATGTGTATTGTTTATGTAAATTGGTGATTGCAAAATAAGAATGCAGTTTACTATAAAGAGAAGAATTCAATTACAACAACCTTATTACGACAAACATTTAAGTTTCGACATATTTTTAATTGAGATGTGCTAACAGTTTAGAGTTTTACATCATGCAATTAAAAGAAATCATGCATGCACTTTATTTCAGTAAATCACTGCCACGGCACTGTAAATCAGTAGTGATCAATACTCATCTCAATCAAATCAAATCAAACAAAAGCGAATTTACACTAATTGATCGTGGAAGTGGTCCTGGAAATAATTATCGAGTAACACTAAAAAGAACTTGTAACTTTATTGAATTATGTAAAAGAAAGGTTGACTTACACTTGCTCACAATGAATTTACTGTCTAGAAATTGGCATTGAACTTTTCAACGCTGACACTTATACCTTAAAAAAACAATGTTATTGGCAAGCTAATATTAGTGATTTATCTTCAACTCTGTAAAAGAACTAGAAATGATACACGTACATTCTGTCAAACCAAATTTATTATAATAGAATTTAAAAAAAGATAATATAAATTAACGGTATGACTTTTGGTAACGTGCACGGGCACCTGGACCTCCAAATTTCTTTGGTTCGCAACGACGGGGATCTGCCACGAATAGGGTCCTGTCGTATTGAATCAGCATGTCTTTGATTTCCTTCTTAGACGCCTCATCGACATATTTCTGGTAATAGGAAACTAAAGCCTTTGAAATTGCTTGCCTGATAGCGTAAATTTGTGCGACGTGACCTCCTCCATTTACTCGAACGCGGATATCAACACCGGCAAATTTTTCCTTGCCTAAAAGTAGAATAGGCTCCTGCAACTTGTATTGGAGAACTTTTGGCTCCACGAGTTCCAAAGGACGTCCATTTACTCGCAAATTTCCACGTCCACGCTTACAATAGGCAACAGCGGTGGCTGTCTTTTTTCTGCCAAAAACTTGGACAGCATGAATAGGTTCCCTCTTTTGTTTCTGCATTTTTAAATTAATATTTTTCACGAATGCACGTGTTCGATCAACCACAAGCTGAGCACAGAAGGTAAAAGGAAATTAAATGGCCGTCTTGCGTCGAAGTAGATTTCGCAGTGATGCCACACTAGCAATACGAAAATCATGTTGGCCACAATGGCGGAATAGAACAGTTTAGCAACTGTCAACTTGCTGTCACTTTGACATGTCTGTAAACATGTATTCAATTCCAGATTTTTATAAACAATAAGATTTATTATTTATTAGTTACTTTTATAATAATAATAACAATAATTTATTAAGATAATTTAATAATAATTCTTATACAGTTTCAATTTTAAACTAAACATGAACAAAAATGAAGAAGTTAAAATCATTTGTGAATTACGCAAATTGATTAAATTATATTGTCCTCAGGTAGACCAAATTTCTATAATTTTTACAAAACCAAATTTTGTATTTGGTTGATTTAATATTATTTAGTTCATATAAAATGTAGGCTTTAATAATTGATTTCAAAGAAAATCATACTAAAATAATAAAATATTTTGGTTCGTGATTTGGATGCACATACACATGAAATACAAGTGAAATTATTTTTATCAGATATTATTTTAGGTCTCAAAAATATTGAATATTAATCATGTGCCTCTAGTGAAATTTTATGTTAATTTGGATATCATGCATTAATTTGTAATAACAAGCACTAATATTTTTACAGGACTGTGATTCTGAACAAATATCTTCTTTTGAAAATTTTGGAATAAACATAATAAAAAATCATAGATTTTTATCAGTGGATAGCCATGCAATTACACGTTCTATGTCAGGTTTAATAGAAAAATTTAAATTACATGGTCATAATGAAGCTTCGGATCAATTGAATAATTTATATAATAAATTTATAAATAATCCATATTTTGAAAACCATCCTCAGGTTGAAATATATGTATCTAAGCAATACTAATTTTTAACAATTTGATAATCTTTTAATTTTATAGTTTGATTTAAAGTGGACCTTGTTATCTTTAACAATACATGCGGCATATAATCCTACTGGTTCAGTGCCCGATAATTTGCAAAGTAAACAATCTACATTCAAATGTTTAACACTACACGAAGAAGAAACTATAGATTGGAAAAAAATTCTTGCAGAAGATCTGAATTTAAGAACTGATTACGATAGTGAATCTCTCAGTGTTAGTATTACTTTTCTATCTGTTTTTTGTTTAATTATTTTCGAAATGAATCCGACATTCATAATAGGAATGGAGTGATGATGATGATGATGATGATGATTATGAAGATTATGAGAATGATAATGATGATGATTTTGAAAATGTGGAAAGTAGAGATACTTCAGAAAACAAACCAAAACAAATTACAGAACCAAAGCCAAAACAAACTTCAGAGCAATGCACACAAACAAATTTTCGTAACTCTAGATCTGCAAAACTTAGTAAAGAAAGAAAACAAGCAGGTAAAAGTGCCAAACCAGATCATTGGTTACTTTTGGAATCATTGCAACTGCCATGGTGGGAACATGGTACCACCTATGAGGCTCAGAGCTCTCATCCAGCAGCTAATTGGGCAACCACCCGGTAAAATTTATATATATAATATATATATAAATGTGTGTGTGTGTGTGTTAATATTTAAAGGCAATACATCAATTTCAAAGATTGATTATCTTAAATGTTTACTTATTTATCTTTTTATTTATTTATTTATTTATTTAATAAATATTAACAACATACATTTGAACATCAAAATTAAGTAATAAATTCAGCATATATATATATATATATATATATATATATACAGGGCCGGTCCTGGGGTGGAGAGCGCCCGCATGCAAGATTTGTTCTAGCGCCTCCCCCCCCCCTAATAATTTTAACTGTCTTAACATTTATCTCTAAAATTATATGAATATTTACGTAAATTCACACAAAGAATTAGAAATAATCTAAAAGTGTATAAAATACATTGATTTTAATTTTATTTAGAAAATTAAAGCGATTTGCGGGTTGACCATAATTAAATATTTTATATTTTCAAGTATTTCTAACATATATGTAATATTAATATTTGGCTTTTGAAACTTTTCACTTATTTCATTAAACTCATTTTTATTTTTAAACATAACATTCATTTTTCATGTTAGATTTTTTAAATTTAATTTTAATTTTGTTTTTCATTATTTACAATATCCAAAATTGCATCAGTAACTTATTGATATTGTAAAGTCAAATTGTATTCATGTTTACTTCCCCATCTGATTCAGAATATTAGATTGTTGTTTTAAAGTTAAATTTTTAACGTATTTTAAAAGATGCAAAGAAATTACATATTTCCTGAACTAACTAAGTATGTCTTCAAAGTTCAAAGTTAATCAGATGCGAAACATTTTCAACAAATACAAAAGTTACAATTAAGTTTCTCGGTGTTGTAGCCATTTTCTAAGCACTGACTGACTACCTATTTCCTATTTTTTTCTATTATAATTTGTATCTATTTTTTTTAACAGGTTCCGTTCAAACTAAATCACCTTGCAATTTTTCATCAATAATGCCCAATAATTTAAACTTTCGTAGGTTTGCGCTTACGGTATTGAACACTAAATAATTTCTTTTTCGATTCCACATTAACTTCGATCTAAGAAAAATATAATAAGTTCGTTAAATAATAAGCAGAACAATAATTTACTAATTTGCATGAGTAATTAATTGTTTCTACAGATATCACATTGCAAACTGAATATGTTTTCTGTTTCTATGTATCCATAGTTAAGTTAAATTGTTTATTATAATCTATTAAGTATTCTAGATTTTATATTAAAAAAAAAAAACGAATAATATATTAAAAAATTTATTTCCGAATCTTGACTTGGCGCCCCATCAGGCGTGCGCCCGCATTTTTTGCATGCAAGGCAGGACCGGCCCTGTATATTATATATATATATATATATATATATATATATATATATATATATATTGAAATAACCAAACTACAAATTTATGTTAAATATTTATATATATGATGAAGAAATCAATTGAAACCTATTACAGGCAGGCACATGTTGAATCCTTATCATATGGAATAGTGAACTCTGAGAACATTTATACCATATCTGAATATTGTGTCCTGAGAGAGTTAATGTGGTTATTACATGAACCACTAACATCCAATACATGTCGTGTATTTTTTAGAGATGAAGATAATAAATTTAAAGTGCACAATAATGTTACTATTCCAAGTTTGCCTCCTGTAAGTCATTTTAGTTTAATATCTTAATGAAAAACTATTTTTATTCATTGTTATTCTCTTCTTTCAACAGGATAGTTTTGAAAAATATGTTCAGCCCTTTTGCGAGTGGTTGGATATACTATACACTATGGAAAGCTTTTTTGATTCAGTAATCGAGGATAATGAAATACGAGCACCATTCACTTACAAAGCATATCGTGAATCAATTATACAACTTCTACAGCCAATTAAAAACTTTATGATGGAATTGGAAAATAAAGTAAGAGCACAAGGTAATTTATAACTATGTATATAATCTAATATTTTATTATATCGAAATATAAATAGGTAATAGAATTGAATTTTTATCTTTTCTTTTCAGATGATGTGTTCACTATCTTGACATTAAGAACAAATTTAGTCCCCTATATGGACAAAATTCATACGTTAAATATCATTCATAAGGACTGCATTCTAGATTGGCACAGCACACCTGCAAATGTATGTGTTACTAATTTATTAACAAAGCTGTACAATAATTGTCATATTGCTGAAGCAGAAATTGCCTCATTTAGCTTTATCATTTTTGTAAACTGTATAAAAGTTTATTTGAATATAATAACATTGTGGTTGAATTCCGGGGGTTTGGAAGATTGGCAAGATGAATTCACTATAGCTAGGTAAAAAACTACAATTGAGTTGAATATAGGTCGAATTTCATATGATTTAATATGATATTTCATTTAAAGCGAAAATAAAGCTAATGATAAACTGGGCGATTATTATCTAAGAAGTATGGATGAATATGAAATTTATAAACAGAATCAAATGCTAAGCACTCTCATGAATAAAGTTTTAAATGCTGGACAAAGTATTAGAATCCTGCAAAAACTTGGGCATATTAAAGATATTTCAAAAACAACAAAATTAAAAGGTAATTTTAAATTTATACAATATTTTTGAACAGTTCATTCATTATTTTAATATTGCAGAAAATTTATTCAAATCCTTCTTCCGTGAAATATTACAAGCCTTGCCACCAAATTTAAATAGAAATCAATTTTTTCGAAAAACTGGCATTAACAATGAACCAAATAAATTATTGTTTATGCCAGATATTCATAATTCTTTATTAAAAGAAGTTTTCAAGAGACATGTGAGAGAGATTCGACCACGTATAATCTACAATGAAGAAACAAATTATGTTGATGAATTATGTGCCAGGTAACCATATTTATTTTTGGATTAAAAACAATAAAACAAATATCAAATAATTAAAAAAAATTCTACATAATTTGGCTCTACATTACAGAATGAAATTGGCACCGAGTCGTCCATTAGAATCTATATTGGATAAAGCTTTAAACGAAGTTCTAGAAAGCAATTGCAACGAAACATGCAAATTAGTAGTAACAGTTTTGAAAGAAGATTTTGATCTTAGTAAACATTTGGATGCATTGCAGAATGTGATGATAAATCAGACAGCAGGAATATTATTTAATTTCTACTTTCAGTTATTCACTGAGGTATTTTCAACTTTGAGATAAATTTGATAATCTATAATTCATGTGATGCTTTGCTAATGTATTTCTTATTTATTAATTATTTGTTTAGATGGATGAGGGCGATGAATGGCAAAGTCCTTATTATATGAACTGTAAACTAGAAGCATTTCTTTCGTATACTAAATTCTGTAATTTGACACATTTATTTTGTGTTCATTTAACGAATCCATCAGCAACTTATACCAGTAAATTAAAAGCATTGAGTGATATAAAGGTATCATACAGCATAGTATATCCAATATCTTTGGTTATTTCTGAAAGAATCTTAAAAAAATATGATGAATGTATGCAATTTTTATTGAAACTTAATTGGTGTACATGGGCATTAAGAAATTTGATATTTTCAAGTAAGTGAAAAAATTTGTTATTCAAAATTACTACATTCAAAATAAAATAAATAATTTGTAGATGGACTTAGACGCCATACTTACGTTCGAGCTGTAGAGGTGGTATCAAAGAGATTGCAAGTTCTTAGATATTGGCTATTGCATAGTATAGGTTCTGTTTACAGGTAGAAATATTTACAAGCAGAAACAATTTATTAAAATTACTTTAATTTATGTTTTTCTTTTTAGTTACATATACGGCCAAGTTCTAACTGTAGCAAAGGCTTGCTTACAAAACAAGATGGAATCAGCCATAGCGCATGAGGACCTTTATTGCGCCCACGAACAATTTATTAATTATGTTCACGATCATTGTTTTCTAAGTAAAAAATATAAAGCAGTGTTAAATGTTATATTACAGGTTTGCATACTATCCTTTCATCTAAGAAAACAAAAATAATTTGTAACTGTTTACTTTAATAATGTTTGAGAGTATTCAAAGTAATTTAATTTAATTTATTGGCCAAAGTAAAGGTAACCACCGTTTAAACAGTAATTACCGTTAAAAAACTACAGTATTATTGGAATGCATATTATACATTGCAAAGGAGAACAAAAAAAGGGAAAATGTTCCAATAATTCGAAAGTACTTGTTACATATTATAATTTCATATTGATATATTAAATATTATTTTTCGTATTTAAGTATTATGACCCTGTCTTTTACGATACCCACGATTTCTCTGCTTCTACTGAATAGATAAACTTCTCTTCAGTATGAACTCTATGAAAATTTGACAATATCAAAAAAAAAGGTGTAAGGACAATATTTTTTCAGATAGTTGCTATTTTGTGAAAAAACATTTTTAATTTGTCCGTAACAACTTGAACTAAATTGAGCATGTTTATTCAGATGATATATAATAAACAGGTCAAAAAGCATAAAATTGGTCAAAGAAGCTTTGAATTTGCACAAAATGGTGATTTCACGCATTTGATAGGAATTAGTTATATAAAATTTTGATGTGGACCTCATTGTTGGCACAATGAAAGTTGGATGCATTTTTCTTTGAAAATAGTTATTAACAAAATGAATGAAATAAATAGGAATAAATTTTAATTTGAATTTAGAATAATTATTAATAATACAGATGGAAATAATAATATTCTATTTTATTATATCTCTGGCATATAATCATAGTTTTTATATTTAAGATAATATTATAAATTCTTTTTTTTACAGCTTTTTCAAATGGTTGAAGTGATACGTTCAGAGTGGGTACACAAATTTGAAAATACATATGGCTTCAGTGATAGTCATTATTATGACGTTGTAAAGGATTTTGAACAAATTTGCACTATGGAAACTATATTCGTCAGATGCCATTCTTACCTCCATTCAGTTTCTCAAAAAAGCTCTCAGGATAACAATGCACGTAAGTTATACTCTATTGTTTATATAAGTAAGAAATAGATACAATCAGTTGTTGTCTCAATTTTTTATATATCTAATATCTCCTTTTTGTTTTTTCTTTACACTCTTTATGTATAGCTTCATTGTTGTTGTGTATTTGTCATAATTCTATAAAAATAATCGATCTATATTTGTTTTTATTTCAGTGAGTAATCTCTGCTGCGCTTTTGATTTCGATATACCTAAAGCATATAGCAATATCACATGAAGATATATCAATTTTAATATTAATATTATATTTTTGTACCAAACTTATTATGTAATTGATCTATTTATTAAATTATCTTATTTACTAGCATATGCTTTTTCGTTATGTGTTGAAAGAGATACCCAAAAATCATAAGGTACTATTTATAATCCACCAAACGCTAAAGGCAAGTGATAAAAGGAATCTGAATTAATAACAAGACATTGGTTGCAATCTAGCCATTTCATTCAATTGTGATAACGCACAGTTATATCATCAATAAAAGTAACTAATGTAAAAACTGTAGTTTTTTGCATTTGACTTCAAAATAAAATTAAGCAAAGTGATTTAATATAAAATACAACCTCAAGTTGAGATTTAGGTTTTTACTGTCAATATTAATACAACATAGCTTCAAAATAAATTTAAATTCCTATAGTAACTAGTAAATTTGTATTGAATAATTATTTATGTAAAACGATATGAAACATACCTCCAGGTGGTTAAACCAATAATTTATCATGCACATGTTTTTCATCGAGTATAATACGGATGCCTATTATTCAACACTACATGCCATTTATTGTATTTGCACATTGCAATTTTATAGTCCTCCACAATTGGTCTATATTGCAAGATACTAAACATTTTATTTTCAACAACTTTCCCACCAAAGCAAAGCGTAAACCATGGATGTTTCAAGTGACATGTTCTATTCTTGCATCAAATCTTGCATTTTAGTAATTGTTGTTATTCTTCTAGTTTTATGTTATTGGTAGATGTAAGATATTTGCCCATATTTGACTTCACATTTTCGAAGCCTTTTTTCATCAAAAATACTATGCATCCTGCAAATAAATATGAAACATGATTAAATACACATAGCTGATAAAAATTAAATTTTAACTTTTATTATCCTTACCTTTATTATTATAAAAAAAGTCTGGACACGAAGCTAAAATTTGATATGTTGACAGAAAAATGACAGCATTGACAGCCTCCAAAAACCGACTAAGCCAGGGCCACACTTTCTGGGAATATTTTAAACAAATTTGTAAATTATTTTAAAAAGTCCAAAAAACACATTCTATTTTTTTTAACTTCCCGTAGGTTATTGTAATCGTCCAAAAATCGAAATTAAATTTTTTTAAATTTTTTCGCGTTTTGACGGTTTCTGAACATTTTGGCATAAATAAAAAAAAATTGATGTGCGTGTGTATGTATGTGTGTGTGTGTGTGTGTGTGTATGTATGTATGGATACATTTTTTCGTCCACGTTTTCGGGCGCACGGATCAACCGATTTGAATGGTTCAAAAAACATTTGATTTCTATCGATAGGGAGACGTGCTGATTAGTTCTTGGCAAAGGCAGGTTCAGACGCTTCGAAGATGCAGAGCAAAGAGTGCAGATAATAGAAATAGAATTTTTGAGACCATCCGATTTGAATGATCTAAGAAACATTCAATTCGTAATGACGGGGAGAAGTCGTGATTAGATTTTGGCAAAGGCAGGTCCAGCCGTTTTGGAGATACCGAGCTAAGTGTGCAAAAAATTGCAGTTTTTAAGAGAACTAAGCATCCGATATGTATGACTCAAAAAACTTTCTGCTTGTTTTGACAAAATAATTGCTTTTGGAAAAAAACTATTTCAATTTTTTTGTATATCGAAAATAATTCAGATTTTGATTTTAATTTTGGCTAAAATTCTAAAGCTCACTTATGTACTTTAAATAAATAATTTTAACTTTGTAATTCAGTTTACATTACTCTTATAAATATTAGACAATGTTACAGTTTTTATAATAATCTATATGAAAATATTTAATATTTTTCGAACATTTCGTTACGGTACGGGAAGATCCAGAAACTTGCCTTAAAGCACGATGCCACACACAACTAGTTTTAATTGTAATATTAATTGCACTTGCTCAGATAATACAAGTATATGCATTTATATTTCAAGAATACATTAAATTAATTTATTTAACACATTTTATTTCATTCATTTCGAGTTCCTTAAACTTAAAATGTATTTTAAGTATAGACGTCAACTGTAATCAGTAAAAATCATGAAAGGCATAGATTAAAACAGGGCTTCTTAAACTATGAGTCGCAACCCCAAATAGGGGCGCGTAAAAAAATTCTGGGGTTGCAAGAGTTTTCAATTGCAATTATCATCATTTCGTAACATCACGTCTAGGTATTTGTATGTTTTACAACAAATTATAAAACTGTATATTTTCATATGTATCTGTATATGAAAATACAGTACTGTACATTTTCATATGTATCTGTATATGGATATTTTTACCAATAAATAAATCATCTAAAAATATTATTTTTTTTTTATATGTGTGGGGTCGTCAAAAAAGCTCGCAATCTTAAATGGGGTCGCAAAAGCAAAAGTTTAAGAAGCCCTGGATTAGAATCATGAACGGCATAGAATTCTGATTAGAATCACTAATATGTTTAGATAAAATCTATTGTCATATAAAGTTTCATCAAAATTGTCGAACAAAATGCTTTGGACATTTAATTTGGATTTGGAAGAAACGGTCTGGACGATCTTTGCCAAAAAGTAATCAACACGAAAACACGCTACCTATCTTCTAATATCTTTGAACAGTTTTTTAATTTTCAAAATCGCTCCAAGATCGTCGGCTAAAATATGGACGAAAAATTTTACACTTTTCTGTGAATTACAAAGAAGCGGCTTGGCCGATCGTCGCACAAAACAAACGCTAGTCCTTATCGAGTTACATCCAATGGCTTTTAAAGTTTTTAAATCGGTTCAGCCGTTTTTTTTAGAAAACGTCGTCGAAAGATCAGATATCGGTTAATATACACACACACACACGAAATATATTTTTTACAAATTTTTATTCGATAATTCGATTCAGAATGACTTGAAACGTCGAAAAAACATAAAATAGCAAATCGGATTTTTTCGAGAAAACAAACTTCTTCGAAGAAGTTATTAAATTTTCCCATTTTGTATTGTTCAATAAATGGTCGATCATCCAGGCGATAATTGATCAAGCAACACATAAAAAGATCGATAAGCGGACGATCAGACCAAAGTGTATCTATCTATCTCTGTATTGACCAGTTAAATTAAATAACAAATATTATTATATTACTCTCCCATATTTTTTTTTGCTAGAAAAGCACATTTTCGAAAAAACAAACGAAATGCCCGACTATCGGCCTCATATTAATGTATTCTTTTCAACATATTGTTCACAAATATCTAAATTTTGAAATCATCAGCAGCTTAATAAAATTATCCGAAAACAATATTTTTAATTAACTTTATTTAATTTTAATTAACAGTATTTTTAATTAACTTCGCTTATACTTCGCTTATACTTATGTTTTCTGGACGTTTCAAATCATTCTGAAACGAATAAGATCGAATTTGGAAAAGTGTGTGTGCATGCGTGTGTATATGTGTGAGCCGATTTTTTACAGGCGTTTTCAAAAAAACGGCAGGTCCGATTCCAAAAGTTTTAAGACCATTTGATGAATCTCGATAAGGACTAGCGTTGATCAGTTTTGCGTGACGATCGACCAAGCTGTTTCTTTGTAATTAACAGAAAAGTGTACCATTTTTAGCCCTCGTTTTACCAACAACGATAGACTTCGTAGTCTGAAATAACATGCTAAAATATTATAGGTATACGATAAGCAATTGAATAAAAATTCATCGAAGTTTAGAATTTTGCCGTAGGCTTGAGCGATTCTAAGAATAAACAGTTGAGCATTTTACCTAAATAGCTAAAACTCAATCCTTATTGATTAAATTGATTATCAATAAGAAGAAAGTTAATGAAACTTGCCTTAAGGCATAATGGTACTTACAACTATTATTACAATATTTAAAATAATTACCTTTGACATTTCACCAGACGGCCTTGGGCAATACCAGCGAGATTTCAATTTTAGCTGTGACTGCTCTCCTGGTAAAATCCGTCGATTCGAAGCACAATTTGTATGAAAATGCTTTTGCTTGATGATAGTTTCACATAAACACATTTGACTAAATGCTGATACGTCGCCTTTTTGATCATTTTTTCTTTGTATTTTGGTGCAAAGATTCACGAATTGGAGGATATATTAGCAGCTTTTAGTTTCGCGTACTACCGCCCGACACCAGCCAAAAGATGTAAACGTTGCCGCCTGGATGCAAGGGGCATTAACGCGTTCCCGCGCAGGCGGAAAATTAAGATTTTGAGATTTTCTTAATTTTGAAAATTTATCAGGAAGTATTATGTACTTGCTATGAGTTGTTTCTGGTTGTTTCATTGCTATTGTTGGCATGGCAAAATCAAAGAACGTTTTGTTGAAAATTGAGCCCATTTATCTCATCCTAAAATGCCTATTTGTCCTACACATGCTGCAGCACAATAAATTCTTGAAAACTAAAACACGCAATATATAACGTAGCACCCTATTGATACAGCAATCAGTAATAGATAATCTATACTGTATCATATTTATGTTTTTCTGCCCAGTTACTGCTAATTTTAAAAGTTAATAAATATTCAATAAACTTGGCCTCATTTTGTTTTTTGATATGTAATGCATACATGCATCATTTTAATATCATTGTCTCTCCTGAAATGTTTCCTAAAGATAGTTCTTAATAAAATAGAAGATCGAGTAAAAACTCGCTAAATTTTATGAACTAAACTGAACAAAAATATGATTTTGGTAATCGGGACATGCCCATCAAGATTAGATTTTTTATTTACAATTAAAAAGTATGATGATTAATAACAATAAATGTATTGATGAAGTTATAAAATATTTGAAGTAAACCCTATTTAAAAACAAATTAGAAGTTTTACTGAAATATTTTAGTCACAATAGAAATCACAAAAAAAATGAAAGTATGCAATAATAGTATTTTCATTAAAGGATTGAACAACAATTACAGCAAAAATGTTACAATTATATTTCAATCAGAATAATGTATTTTCACATTTGACATATACTAGAGATAATTACCTATATATATATATATATTCAGATTTTTTTGTTTGTTTTAATCAGATATTTAAAATTAATAAAGAGCCCGAAATTTGACTAACATAGCACATATGCTGAACACTGTTGTGGCATCTGGTTTAACACAAATCTGACAAATGGAAATAAAATTAAAAAATAAGCAACTAATTGCACTATAAATTATACAAAACTGCTCATAAAAGCTTTTAAAACAATTTTAAAAAGTATAATGTTAATCACTTAACACTAATCAAAAGTTTGTCAATAGATATTTGTTATTGATTAATCAAAAGTTTTTTTTATCTAAATTTTCTGACAATGTAATTCACAACTAACATGTTTATGTCAATATCAAAAAATCTATTTCAGTGACTGCTTAGTATTTAGAATGCAGTTTTCACTCATTTGTGGTTACACCATAAACTTAAGTACAAAATGTATTAAAACCTATGTTCTATTTTATTAATTATTAAAATTATGCATAAAATTAAGTCCACAGTTTTAAGTCCAATTGTCAGCTATGGTCAAAGGATTGCTATTGCAAAATCTTAGATGTAATTTGCTTTCAAATAGCAATGAGTAAGACTAAGGATCCGATTCGACTTATTGAGAAACTCGTGAGCAACAACGCGCCCGTTACTGATCACCGAAGCATTTATGCCCGATTACAAGAAAAGCAACAACAACGTAAGAACAAATCGAATACAAGAGAAACGGGCGCGATGTTCGCTGCGTCGATTCGAGTCCTCCCGATAAATGAATGTAGATCAAGAATTTTCTGATGTTGTCATGTCCGTGATATTACAATTTAAATTTAAACATAGCATTACAAACTTTTTGCAGAAAGCTGCTGATATAACTGGATTTTTCGATAATTACTGTTTTATTAGAATTTATTGCACACAGCACGAATTCTTGTGTCCATTTTTAAATTTCAACCTGGATTTTGGTCGGTATTTTTCTAAAAATGATAGCTGTTTCGCGTTGATGGCTCCTCGACGTTTGCTGAAAAAATATATAACGATTATTATAATTCATAATTATAACGATTATAAAATTATACGAGGATAATTGTTCTTCATTCAATCAAAAAATTCTGGTATAAAATTAAAAAAAAAATAGTTTTTTTTATATTATCGAAGTTTAAACTAATCTAAAATATGTGTGCAGAAGTATTTTTCAAAATTTGAAATATTTTCGGCGATATGCTATAATAATCGTTTTCTGTTTCGTTCCTCTGTGAAACTTTAAACGCGTTTTCCTCGAAAGGGGGCGTCCATTAATCACGTGAGGTTTTTAGGGGGAGGGGGGGTTTACAAAAAATCACAAAATATCGTGCGCGGGAGGGAGGGTATAGTAAGATATCACGTGTTTTTTCACGTTACTAAAAATACATGTGATGTTTAGTGGCGGGGCAGGGGCTAGTTTTGAATATCACCATGTATCACCAAGGGAGAGAGGGGTTCCAAAAATCCTTAAAAACTCGTTCACGTGATTAATGGACGCCCTAAAACTTTATTTTTCCATTTTTCTCATGATTTCTCAAACTCCACTGTACCGATTTACTTAAAATTTTTACAAATCCTTCTCTATAGACATAAAATAAAATATATTTTTTTTATATCATTAATTTGTGAAAAAACATTATTTTAATTTATCCGTGGTTCATACAACAGCGATTTTTTTTTAAAGATTACATTTTTTTATTGAAAGTATTTAGAGTGCTGAAATCAGGTGGAAATTTTTTAAGACACTACAATTCAAAACCTTCTAAAATTAAAACTTTATGACTATTTATTTTCTTCTAAAGTCTCAAAATATTACTTAATTAATAACTTGTAAAAAGAAATGAAAATAGTAAAAATATTGTTTGCCTTATTTTTACGGCCTTTCAAAAATCGCATAAAGCTCACTCCTCTAAGCCAAAATATTGCTATAAGAGAGAAGGCGTATGGCCGCAGTGGGACATATACGTATAAAGTGTGATTGAAAAATCCCTAAAAGTATTAAAATTAAATCAAGTACAACGTGACGATTTTTTACTGACAGCGCACCACGAAAAGAATTTGCCACAAGCCCCATATGTAATAACTGCGCCAATGATGGTTGTTGAAACAGAACTAATTCTGCTGCGTTATGAAACATTCAGAAGGAATTCTTTCAACACATGCATCTTTAATGGGTTTTGAAAGTTTGAGCGCGGTAAAAATTTCGTATATTAATCTGTTCACCAACGTTATAAACGTTATAAAGCCATTAGTAATAAAAACACGGCAATAAAATTAAGTTAACTATAATAAGTTTGAAAATTTTAATTCCTTCTCTTACAACCGTATCTTAATTATTTTTAAGTCATAAATTCATTTTTTATATTAATAGTCTTGAAAAATTATTAAGCTATTATTTAATTAACCCTTTCGCTACTGTACTGTTTTCCGTAGGAGTGATACTGTTGTAAAGAACAGCGAGCCGCCCAGTATAACGATACTGCATGGTTTAGGCACGACAACATTTTCCAATCATTATCAATGAAAATGTACTTAAAAATTACCAAAACACATTTTTAAATATCTAAAAAATTCTATAACATTAGAATTCTCAATAATTAACTCAACGTGATAACTCTTGATCGAGAATCAACGCACTGCATGTCGTCTATATGCGTATACCCATACACAATCAATTAAAACCTATTTTATAAACTTAGGTAATACGTAGATCTAGTGCTTTAAGAGGGCAATTTTTAGTTCTTAAATATAATTATTGATAATGATTGGAAAATCTTGAATTATGTCATAACATACATGGGCGACTTGCTGCCTCGTACGGGTGAGTCACTTCTGCCCTCGTAACGAAAAGGTTAGTAAATGCTGGAAAGCCCTGTCGTGTAATTTTTCGAATCATGAGTATATAAATTTAAAATTGTAATTGTTTTGCTGAAATTAATTAACATGTTTATATAATTGTTAATAAATTATTAATATATAACGACAAATATAATATTCATTGCACTTCTATGAAGATAAATTACTTTCAGCACGTATCAATAAAAATATCTATTGTAGTATAAATAATTATCTGCCTTCTTAAATCTAATATTGTATGTTAATTACTAATTGAAATATACTTACTCTCGAATCATTTCAACAGCTTCTTCATATTTTAGGCCCAATTCAATCAGAGCCAAAGCTACTAATACGGGCGCTCGGCCCAAACCAGCCACACAATGAACAGCCACACAAGCGTCAGGATCATCTTGATAGCTATGTGAAAAAAAATTAAAATTGTTTTTTAATATTAAAAATGAATTTGAAATTGCTTTGCTATATTGCTATATTATGATATTTTGACTTTCTCAGTCAAATGAAGGAGAAAGGTCTCAGGGTAAAGAATACTGAGAGTCATTTTATACACAAAATAATGGTTGTCTCAAACTTTTTCGAACATTCGTGTAATATCTACACATGGCGAAATACAATCAGCCCGTTTCCTGAAGTTTTTGAAAATAACACAAAACATAACGCAAGATATTTATGAATACATTAGTTAGATTTTTCAAAGAGGTTTTATAATAAAAATAATATCACTTGAAACAGTATCACAATTAACTGATTAGAAGCATATGGAATTTAATTGATAAAGATGTAGTTTAATGCATATTGACCACAGATACTGAAAACGTGACCTGCAAATGTTTATCAGTCTCCATTCATTATTTTGGCGGTACAATTCATCATTTATAATTTAATTATAATTCAGTTTTCCGCATAGAATGATCGATAAACGATTATCACTAAAAATAAAAAAAAAAAAATGCGTCTATGATGCCCATATCTTACTCTTCAGGGTATTTTGCTCTTTATAATGTCCTGTGCAGTGGCGTCGGAAGCTAATTTTTGATGGGTGGGCTCGCGGGCCTGTGTGGTCTTGTTTTTTTTTTTTTTTAGCAATTTGAGGCTCGTCAAGCCCACCCAGCCCGCACGGTTCCGACGCCACTGGTCCTGTGTATGTGTTATTCGTGGTAAAAAAAAGGTTATCAATAAAAAAAATCCTTTAATGCATGAGCCAATTAGGTACCCTGTGTATGTAAAATATAATTTGGCAAGCGAGTCACTAATTGTAAGATTTAACGAGGATGCAAGATTAAACGTACTTGCTTAAAGCCATATTGTGTATTGGTATTTTTTATACGAGATTTTGAGAATTTATTTATTTGTTTGGGCAGTAACCCTTTTACCATTGCTCATTGTGGAAAGAAATTTCATCAGTTAATGTTTGCCAGATTATGTTTCGATGCGTATTGGTATTGGTATGTTCTAGTGATAAATGATAATGACTGATAAGTTCATATTTTTATTCACGGATCATGATATTTATGATTGATGACACGGTTGGGGAATATGTTTGCTTGAATTGCGATTCGAAAGGTTTTTCATATGATATTAGAAATTGTGTGCATTACACGTTCTGCAGCTTCTTCAATGTTAGCATGAATACTAATTTATATTATATGTTGGAAATTATCGTTAATTAGTGTTTTGTAGCGTGATCATTTGGACATTGCATAATCTAATATTTTGCGACAGGTTGTAAGATAATTATCAAGTTTGTAAGAGATGAATATGAAAATTGAATTGTGATCTGTATGAAATATATATGACTTATTACTTCGGAAAGTATCAAGTATGGTATTTTTTGTAAGTATAGAGTATTTTATAAACAAACAAAAGATCTATATTACCCGTGGAAAAACCTTTAATAGATATAACCTACAAAGCCAAAATTCACACAAACGCTTTTAGCAACTGGTTTCGCAAACGAAAATTACAATAACAATATAATGTGATATAATTATATAAAAATGAAATCTAATTGCCCCGTTTTAACTATTACAGAAAATTACTTGAGCAATTTCCAAAGGATAATATTTATATTGCATTTCCGAACTTATTTCAACACAAACTTTTCATCTTTGAAAGTAATGAAAAAATGTATATATTTTGCAGGTTATTCATCTGTAGGACCAAATTGCCAAAATTGATCCGGATCTGTTGCTTTATATAAAACTGATTTAGCACTAATTTATATTAATAATAAAAAATTTGGATTATGTGCTATTAAAAAACAAAGTTTATGAAAGTCGAAAAAATTCAAAATTATTAACTTTTGCATGTAGTTTCTAATCAGCCCTAAATTGTATTCGAACCCACATGCTGATCTGAAGCATTATTAACTTGTAAGTTCAAAGTACAGAAATGCAATAATATTATTACTAATACTATATACTAATTAATTTATAATGTCTGATGTACACATTCAATTTCAAGAGTAGGAACAATTAGGTAGTTAACACTTTGTTGACTGGTCACGATCAAATCACGAAGAAACTAGTAATGAGCTTTTTTACCATCGCTCATTACCATTTTCTCTGTTAACACAAGCTGTTTCTCTCGCTTATAATCTTCTGGTGTAAAAATATAGAGATACCAGTAGCCGGCCAACAAAGTGTTAACTACGTTGGTCAACTATATAAGTACAGAAGAATGTTAATCTAACATAAAAAAATTACCTTTGTTTAAGTGTTAAGAACCATTCATCAACTATGGTGGTGGGTGGGAAGGTGCCATCTTCGAAGGCCAGATCTTTGACAAGGATTCCCTGAGCGGACAGTTCGTCCGTCTTGTAGCTCGGCTCGCACACTCGAACCACGATCAAAACCTTATTCTTTTTCAGTTCATTGATATAATTGTGAATGTTATGATCGGACGGACGGTCAGTTATCAAAAATTTCATTCCTTTATACTCGATACGAGCCGGAGCAGGTCTGATGTCCTTCTGACGCATGTTGTTCATTTATATCAAACAGGAAAATGATAATATGAACCGAAAAACACTTCACACAAAAGAAAACTGTCTCTTTAACCAAAGTTACCAAGAACCCGACACAAAAACTTCTTAATATAACAATTTGTGAAACTTGAGCTCTTTTTTAATCTCAAATATATGATTATTTTCAATTTTGCGGAATAAACTTGATCTAAACGTCGATTAAAATATTTAAATTCACATTCGAAGGGACTCCGAAATCATTTAGTTTCTAAATTTTTTCATATATCTTTATACAGTTATATTTATATAGATATATATATTTGTATATGTAAATTATAAATAAAATCAGACTTTTAAAGTTTTATACAATTATCTTTTACTTAAATATTCGTTGTTGGTAACGCGATGTTTTCTTTCTTTGATATGCGTGTTACAAATATATCCCTATATAAATATATGCACATATAAAACGTTATATGTAAATATATGTATAACGTAATGAAGGTGATGAACTGCCTGAAACAAAAAAAAAATAAAATTGTTCACTAACTAGAAATAAAATAGGGTTTTTAATTGTTATATTTATATTAATTATGTCAAATTCTAAAATCAATAGCAGAAATTAAATTTAAAGTAAACAGTTTAAAGTAGTAAAGTCTATTTGCACCGTGACTAATGTCGAATTATCAGTTATCCTGCTCGTAAGCAAAGTAAGAAAAGATTTTCTTGATTAACCCTTTCGAATGTCGTCCATAAAAGACATTCTCTCGAGTACGAGTGTCGTTCATGGACGACATGTTATGTATCCGTCATTGTTTCAAGATTAATCACTACTTATTAAATTACCGGCAATTCTAACTTTTATTGTTAAGTTATTATAGAAGCGTAATTTTTAAGTTTCAACGCATTTTCATTGATAATGATAGAAATTTGTTAAAATATATCGTGCCTGGTCCACTCTGTTCTGTACAGCAGCGACATTCCTGCGGAAAACGCTCTCCGTAGCAAAAGGGTTGATAAAGTACAGAAAATATAAATGAAGTGCCAAAAACTAAAATTTTACTCTATACCGAAAAATATCACCATTTGCTTACAAGCCATGAACAATGATACACTTGTTGCGCCTTCAAATAGGATTGCTTTCGCCACTCCACTATTAATAAACTTTCTTCAAAATTGTTTTTTTATAAATTTATTACATTCTTTAAATGTCTACCTAAAAATTTGTCGTTTATGTCATTTTACTACTTAATTTTTCAAGATCTCAATTGTTTTTACATTACATCATGCTTTAACTATTGAAAACAAAACAAAATAGATGTCACAATTTTACCTTAATTAGACACGTTATTTAATTCTGTTTCTCGCAATCAAAATTTGTTGAATCTTATTTACGTGAATACTCATATGGATCGGATGAATTCCACAAACATGTTTTTGTAAAAAAAAAGATTTTTGTTAAATCGTGAATCTAAAAATCGTATTTGAAAAAAATCATCTCGAATGAAATAAAATATTTTAGATTTTTCAAAACAAAACAAAAATCACCAACGTGTTCTACGTTTTTTTGTTTTGAAAATTATTAAAATAAATTTTTTTTAATAAAATCAATAAAGTTTTTAGAAAAGATAGAACTCTAAAGGATTTACCTCACACTTCGTCGATTACTAACTCCGGCCACACAGTGTGCAGAGCCGAAACAGGAATAAAGCCTCTATTTGTGCTGGGCTTGGCAGTATTCCGCGCTGTCCAACTGGAACTCCATGTATCGCAGGGCAACGGGCGAAGGAACCTGCAATTGAGACATTCAAATGTCAACTATCATGTTATTTTATAAAATAACAGATTTACTGCAGGCGAAATTTTATAAATTTTCAGGATTAATCCAAACGAATTTTCGTGATATTCACAGGAAGGACCGAATAAATATTTGTTATATTAAAAACGTACACAATAATATTCAACACAAACTTTTTGAACTCTAAACAAAATTTATGGCAGACAACAAATAATTCACTCTAACCATCTATAATAAAAATTCGCTGATTAAAACCTATATTTAAAAATAAATATTTCTATAAAAGAGTGCGCTAGATATTACGTACTACTACAAACATTTAAGAAATTCCTTTAAATTTTATGAGCGTCAAACTTAGAATCACTTAAAACGCAAAATGAATGATTATTATATTTAGCTATGCAATAATTTCGATAACTCACTATGCTTAAAAGTATTATTATTAAGTATTGTAACACATATATACTGAAAAGAATTTTACTTTGTTTCATTTATCAATGTATCACAATTTAATTGTTTATTTGTTCTCGAATCGTTACGTCAGCGAAAAATAGTTTATTTAATACATTTAAATTTATAGTATAAAATAAAGTTTGCATTATTAGTATGAGTATGTGCGATGACGAAAATGTTGAAAGAAATTGAGCCTTTTACAAATACAATACACGTTGCAACTTTCACTAACACACTTTGCGAACTTCCATAGAATTTTAACACATCAATTTTCCCAGTTTGTGTATCTGAGTACAGATCATATCACAGGTTAAATCAGTTTATGCAGGTACAATTTGAAGTAACTATGATACCACTTGAAATTTTTCGAAAAATAAAAAAACAGTATGTATTATGTGAATATTTTCATATTGTCACTTTTGATTAATTAGAAATTATTATTCATGAAAACCATCAAATGTGAAATCTAAACAAGCCATACTATATACGTCAATGAATCGAATTATACACAAATGTATTAAATTATACTAATCCACTAATTTTATGTATTTTATTCATTGTTAAACTTTTATCATAACTTACTAAATCCAGTCAAAATAAAACACACTGACACTTTATGGTGGACGATGTTTTTGATGCATGAAAATCAAGTCCAGGATGTGAATGGTGCGTTTTTTCGTGAAAATTATTTCGAAAACCACTTTTGAAACAAGAATTTTGGTGTCTAATCAACACCAAAATTTCAAAATACTAATAGAAATTGTCAACTATCTATTAAATATAAATAAACAAAATTTAATGGTGCACTAGATACGCGTGTGTTCAGTGCTGATCACAAAATGCTATTGATAGAGAAGTTTGCTTTCGCATTATCATTTTGCTCAATGGTCATACTCGCGAATATTTATAACCCGTAGGAAAAAGATGTACGTAGTAGAGGTTTGATTTTTTGGCACGGGATAAGACGGGATAACCGAAAGACAAGATTCAGAAGCGAATTTATAAAATGGTGATGCTTATTAAATCTCATTTTAATCAAATATAAATTCAAAAATATTATAATTTAGACAAGCAACACGGGAATGAATCAATTCCCGTCAAATATACTGCAAATATTAGGTTGTCAAATATCTCCCTTCCGCCTTTTTGTATTATAAACCAAGAGCAAAAAAGCGGAAGGGAGATATTTGACAACCTATTATACTGCAAATCAAGCACAAATTGATTTTTGATTTGCAGTATATGCCATATAATTGATAAATGTTAAAGTAAAAAAGAATACAAATAGAGAACGATATACTAAAAAATATACATGTCACAAATTAAATTTTTGAAAAATCACAAAATAGTACTAATGATGCCAAAAACAAATACTTGGAATATAAAAAAATAAACGAAAATTAATGTGTGTGTGCATTTACCTCGAGCAGCCAAAAAATCTTTATGTAAACCGAGTGTTTACTTAACTCGCATGTGATGGCTATTACGCGAACTCATGACAACAAGATTTAGACAAAATGATTTAAATAGAAGACAAATGATTTTCACAGAGTTATCTAATAAATTTTGAGACTGCTAAAACTAAATCTTCCATTCAATAGCAATAACTAAACTTCAGCGAGTAATAATTTGTAAATAATATTGAAAATAAAATACTAATTTCACCTAACAAGTAAGTAGCAAGTATATAAATTGAAAAGGGATTAGCAATTCCGTACATCATGTCAATCATTTTAACATTTCAAATATCATTACAGTATTAGTATTACATTCATGACGATTTAATTCGTAACAATTAGCCTTAAGCGAATTATTGTTATTGCTTTAGCAAAATGAAGAATGCCCATGGACGTGCAATGAGCTGAACTTTCAACATTTATAAGCTTTCGCACGCACAATCATATGAATTAGTGGTTAAAAAAATCTAAATTATAATAAATAAATCTTATAGCAAATTCAAGCAACTGAAAACGATTTTAAACGAAGCTACTAATTATTTATTTGACTTTGAAAATAAAAGATACAATATATAAGAGTAATGCTGGCCAAAATTTATATCAAACGCCGGATCAGCCTGATCGTCAAAAAATGACAAACAATGAACGCACAGCTATAAATTAAACTCCATGTGTCATTTCGTATGGTCTCCTATTCTAATCATATGATAAGGCAAAAATGATAAAATCGAATTAAGTTTGTAAATAATTTACAAATTTGGCACAAATTCCCCGAATTAGCGAATTATTGGACTGTTTTTACCGCTACTTGAAAACGATGATGCAAGCCGAGAACAAGCGGATTTTCCGTCCAAGGCTTCTCGAAGATATTTTTATGAAACGATTTTCTTTGAACTACCAATCGCGAAAAAAACAAATGTGTGCCAAAGTTTTATGCGTTCCAATCACTTGAACAATTTATAATTTGGCGCTAGAAAATCTGCCAAAGTTAGGTCTCCTAATAGAATTTTATTTTGTTATATTCTTGCTTTGTTTATTTTTAATGTTTATGAAAAAATCTAAATATCAATTTAAAGCATATCATTTTATTAAATTGCCCATAGCGTACTTACAACATATTGAAAAGTGTAGATATGAATAGAAAATTCATTAGCAATTTTAAAACGCCATCACTGATTTGAGTAGTGACTTAATTGCCGTTGCAGAATTCGTAAACAAGGTGTTTTAAAATATTAGTTTGCAATTAGATAAAGCGTTGCATTTGGCAACTGAAACAGCCAAAGAACTAATTTTGATCATAGTCCTTGCAACGAGTCTTCCAAAATTTGATGAATTTCATATGTACTGTCAATTTGAACAAACTGAACTACATGTGTAGACTATTTAAAAAAAATAGGCAAAATTTTTTACCGTTCATATTTAGGAAATAAATAAGAAGATAAGTATATTTTAATTATCGCCTACATATATAAAATATATTTTTTGTTTTTCATAATTGACTATGACTATGTAATAAAACGATTTGTTTTTAAATATATATTATATTATAATAAAATATTTCATTATTTAATATTCGTTCAGTCGAAACTGTAAAACGATACTTTGTTGGCATTATTGTATGTTAACATGTGTAAATATTCATGAATACTTTTATAAACACGGTTCTCATTTATACTGTGCAAACTAATCGTAAGAAATATATATATATATATATATATATATATATATATATATATATATATTCATTTTTGAACAGCAATCAGAACCTTACGTCCTATGAGCTGTTGGGCTGAAACTTCTCCTTACTTAGTATTTTTAGATGGTAAGCCAATGGTTAATCCATCCATATTTGATGATTTTATTATTAAAATTAATCTAATAGGGCTGACATTTTATTGGTGCAGCAATGCCGGATTAAGGGCTATTTTCACATGGAAACATATTGATATCTATATTTTCAAGTGAAAATCGTTGTCACTGCTGCCTGACAACAGGCTGCTCGAAGTGGGTATCGAACCCGGGACCTCTGAAACAAGTCCCGTCGCTCTTAACCGCTTACCTACGGGCGAGCCCAAGAAAAATATATAGTTACTTAAAAATGAAAAGTGAAACATGCAGTAATGGCATTGTACTAATAATTAAAAAACCAACTCGAATAGATTTGCTAAAATTAGATACTTCAAACTTGTTACTTAGCCCTCTGGAGGGCTGAGCTCACTTGAAAACATATCTCTCATCTATATTTTTAAGTGAAAATAGATATCACTATTGCTTACACACAATGGGAATTTAAACTTGGAATATTCTATAACTCGCGCCATATTCCCCAAGAATGTAACTTATTTCTTTAATGTTGTCTGTAACTTATTTTTAAATTGGACATTTGTTGACAATCGGACTTTATTTGGAGTTCGATCGTCATCGATGGCCATTCGCCAAATTTTAACATGGCTTTTAGTCATGAACGCAATAAAATACAATACATTATCGAATTGCCATTATAATTAGAGAAATATATATACTCATAGACTCTCATTTATATCCCCTATGTGAAAGCCAAATCGGGCGGACAGTATTTAATAATTATTAACCCCTTAGTAGGGTAACGGCATTCAGTACTCTCCAGAGACAAGATGGAGATGGATAGTAATAATTTATGAGAACATATTATTTATTAACAAGGTAACTTTAACCGACTGACTCAATGAATACAACATTGATTTTTTTTATTAATTTGAACAGCTATCAGAACTTAAGTCTTATAGGGTATTGTGCTAATTTGAGATGTATCATCACAGTGTGATGAATTATTACAATTTTGTAATAGAGCAAATATAGAAAATATTAATTTGAAATATATATGCAGTAGTGGCACTCCGACTTACAAGCGACCTGACATACAAGTGCTCGTAGATACAAGCCGCCAAAGAAGCGAGCTTCTTGCTCTGAGATACGAGCAAAATTCTAGATTAGATTATAATTATTAGATTAGAGCATTGAGCGAGGAAAGGTTTTCAGGATAAATGTTAATGGTAAAATGAAAATATGAAAAATTTCGTCGGTTGTAACAATAATTTGCCTAACATAAAACTAATGTGGGTGTATTATGATAGTAAATTATTTGTAGTTAGTCATTTAAATTATGTATTAATATTAATGGTTTAGCGAAGATTACCCACCCGAATATATTTATTTATTTATTTATTTATTTATACGCCAATCGGCTTTATACAGTTTTATAATATTGTTTGCTAATTCATAACTTGTATATTTATATCTATATACATATACACACACACACACATAT